TAATTTTAATTGCAGTTCCCTAGGAGTGTCACGCATTTTCTCTGTCAGTCACAATCTATTTTAAACATCATATGAGTTATTCTGTGTTAACTATGAATTAAGAAAATAGGGCACAAAAATCAAGTTTTGTGTTTTTTGTGTTTTATAATACAAAACATTACCACTGAATAAATAATGGCTATGTTGTCCATTCTCAAATTTCAGGGTAGGTGGTTATTCTCATTTCATAAAATGACATGTCAGTTATCAATGAAGATAAAAGATGGGGGATGGATTTGCCTAACTTAATAAGTAGACTTTTTGCTTTTGGAAATATCAGTAAAATACTCAGAGCTCACAAACATAACCAAAGAACAGAATATTATATAGTTGATCCAAGTAGTTCTTTTTGTTTAAGCTTTGAAATTTTGGCTTCAGATATAGCTCAGTAGTAAAGGACCTACCTGGCATGTACAAAGCCCTGGGTTTGATCCTTAAAATAAGAAAAAGTAGGAACACCAGCCGAAAGCATATTTTCTCTTGTAAGGAAGCACAGTCTCTGCTAGGTAACTTCTGATGACTAAGTATCCATCTTAATTAAATAAGTGATCTCTTAAGTCTTGGAGGAAACAACCTCTATGTTTAATAGAAATATTAAGACCTTGGGCCAGCTAGATGGTTCAGTAGGAAGGTACTTGTTACCATACCTGAAGACATGAGTTGGATCCCTGGAACCCACATTGTGTAAAAAGAAAACCAATTCTTGCAAGTTGTTCTCTGATCTTCACATGCATGCTGTGTCATGTACATACCCACACATGTACACACACACATGCAGATGTACACACACACACACACACACACACACACACATGAGCACAGGCACCCATACACTAGATACATTTTAAAAATGTAATTAAATATTGTAGAAAAAGAAACAGTATAAAGCCTATATAAAAGTCAAAAGAACTGTTTCTCTGGCCATTGGCCATTGTCCATCCAGGACAGTGTTTCATATTACTCTAATAAACCTTACCTATCTGCTACACTATGCTCTGTGTGTCTTATATGAAATCTTTGATTGTGATCACAAGGACCAGCCAGCTGAGGTGAAGGCAGAACCAGATCTTGGCAACATGTATAGACACATTGCAAGAATGAAAAGAGTTGCATAATGTGTTTAACATTGTATCTGTCACATGGCAAGCTCTTAGGCAAGGTAAGTCTTTAAAAACATTGTTATTATGATGAACCTGTTTGTGGTGAAGGAACTATATTAGGAAATGTTTGAAATCTGAATTCAGAATCTGAAGGCACATGGTACTTAGTGATACCCATGAATTGATTCTGCTTGGTGGAGTTGATAACCTTGATGAGGCTAATTCAGCTTACTGAGAGACTCTGGGGTCACCATATTTCCTAATTAGAAGAGATTATCTGTGTCAATTCATCATTACAGTAATAGAAATCTCACATAGCAAAAGACAACATCTTTCCAGAATTTCTTCAATCCCTTCCTCCATTCATTTTCTCCTTTCTTTCTTTCTTTCTTTTCTTTCTTTCTTTTTTCTTTCTTTCTTTCTTTCTTTCTTTCTTTCTCTTAGAAAGGAGAAGAATTTCAGATTAATGGTATTGACCAGATCTTAAACAGGATTGTAGAAGAGAATTTCCCAAATTAAGAAAAGACATCCCCATACAAGTATAAGCTAGTTCTTTAGAAGACTGCCCTGGGTTCTTTCTTTCTTTCTTTCTTTCTTTCTTTCTTTCTTTTTTTGTCTTTTTGAGACAGGGTCTCCTTGTAGCTCCAGCTAGCCTGGAACTCACTATGTAGGTAAGGCTGGCCTCCAACTCACAAAGATCTGCCTGCCTCTGCCTCCCAAGTGCTGGGATTAAAGGCATGTGCTACTATGCCCAGTGCCTCCATTCAATTTTGGACAAGGTCTCATGTAGCCTAGGCTGGCCTCAAACTTGTGATGTAGTAAAGATGACCTTGAATTCCTGATCTCTTCCATACCTCTTGCTTCCATCTCCCAAGTGCTAAGAAGACAAGCATTCACCACCATACTAGGTTGAGGAAAGTCCATTTTAAATGCAATAAAGTCCTAACTTGCTCAAAGACCGATGTCTCTGGTGGCTGTCAGCCATTTTCATGGGTTTAGGCAGTCACAGCAAACTGTGACCTGAATACTTCATGTGCTCTGTGCTGACCAACCTCTTTAGTGGAATCTTACATCTTTTGTTAAATAAAAGCTTAATCTAACTTTACAGTAATTTTTTCCAGAAATATGTGGCTTTCCTGAAATGAGGAGTCCTAGGTCATACACATGTATGAATATCCTTATGTAATACAGTTCTTGTCACATACAATGAATATAAAGAAAAATGTTTTCGAATAAATTAAAAATAAAAGTAAAAACACAAATCTGTGATATAAGCCAATCTCAGTTGTGTTTCTTGAGAATTAAAAAGGACAAGATTAACTATTATAATTCATGCAGATGAACTGTTGGAGTGGTATTTAGCATTTGTCAAGCAGACGCAACTTCCTGTCCACAGGGCATCATGCTTAATAATGGCCATGCAAACATTCTTTCCCTTACTATGCATCTTATCTTCTCTCCCTTGCTTAGGTTTTTTTCTGAACTCACACCCCGGGCCTCAAAAACATCCCACTGTGATCACATGTGGTGAAGCAGGCCCCACAGATCTGACATGCCAGGTGAGTCTATGCTTGGTCCCTTGATGTACTTTAGCTTGAGGATAGAGAAGCCTTTTACAAAGAGAATTGAGAATAAGTCAGAATTTTGTCTTCACTGAGCCTTGTTTTCTTAAGTCATTTCAAAACTAGGGGCAGGAGCTGTGGGCTGGGGAAGATCAGCATAAGAAAACCAGAGCTTATTGCTCCCAAACTGTAGAAATTGTAAAAGATGAGAAACGTCTATAGGTATTCTGTGTAACAGCTCTTAGGATCAACCTAGAGAAGGGTGAGAGAAGACATTTCCAGATGCAAGTAGAAACCACTGAAGCGAAGGGAGGCAGCTGAGGAGCACCCACCTACACAGCATAGCTGTAAACTCTACAGAAATGGGTCTATATGCTAAAAACAGTGGCATACCATTTTCTTATACAATAAAAATAACTATATCATACTCTACAGGGATATTCAAATTTCTAGGACACAGTAACTGAGCTGAGCACCATGTGTAACAGGTGCAAATGTGTTTCCTGTGAGAAAGAATAGAAGTGAACATAATGTGATTTTTCCAACTGGAAGAGTTAAAATTTCTTAGGACACATTCACGTAAAATGCAGAAAAAGAACTTAAAGATATCTTTGACCAGAAAAATGACAATTGTTTTTAATATAAATATTCAAAACAGTAACTATTTCATTTTATCTTTTGCAGATTTTAATATACTGCTGTTTAATGACTGTGCATCACATTAAACACATTCTTTTTATTTCAGGTTGACTTGTGGATAAATAATAATACTGATGACTTATAGTTAAAGGAGTGTTAAGATAAGTGTTTATATTGAGTGTCTATATGTTATTTAGTTAGCTATATCCATATCAATAGGTGATTTGAAAACACTGCTGTGGGATATTTGGTAAACCACTTAAAAAACACAACCACTTATTTATTTGTGTTTGTAAGTATGTGTATATATGTATGTATGCATGTATATGTATGTGCATGCCACAGCACATATATGTAAGGCAGAGGACAACATGCTTGTGGAAGTTGACTCTCTTCTGCATTGTGAATTCCAGGAACTGAACTGAGGTTGTCAGGCTTGGGGCAAATGTTTTTACCTGAGAAACCATCTCATTGGCCTGGTAGTCCACTTTAAAATTTTTCATTAAAATACATACTCAGTCTTAGAAAGAGTGAATTGTATGTACTATAACAATATGGTGAAAATACTGCATATTTACCTTCACGTTTGCCCCTCTCCCACACCCCACAGCATGGTGCTGGGGAACCTAAGGCCTTGTGCAGGCCAGATAAGTGCTCCAAAACTGAGTCATACCCATAGCTCTTCTTTTTACTTTGTGTTTTCATTAATACAAATTAAAATATATTTTTCTCAAACACCTCCAGTCTTAGTGTTTTGCTCTGTTTTTAAATCTTGTCTTAACTTTTAAGGTAACTCTTTATAAAACTAGGGCACAAACACAAATTCTTTTTAAATAAAACGCAACTCAGAGTTAGAAAAACATAGGACATTAAAACAGGAAATAGCATGCACAAACACATTTCAATAGGTAAATATTGCAATAGAAACATTGAAATAAATTTCTTTAAAAAAAGAATAATATAGTTCAATACACTCTCTTTGACTTTATAAATAACTTATTCTAAATTTGAATTGCTATAAAATACAATGTTGTACTTTCAATACTGAGTCCAGAATCAGGAGAGAGACATACCAGAGAGAGAGAGAGAGAGAGAGAGAGAGAGAGAGAGAGAGAGAGAGGAACCAACAATCTTCTATTTACTGTGTAGGTAAAAACACTTCATAACTGGAGTGCATTGCAATTGCTTCCAGGGTTTGCAGTCCAAGAGGAAGTTACAAAGCATTATGTCCATGGATTTCCTTAACAGCTGGGCAAAGAAAAAGTCAGTTATAATTCAAGACTTAATGTGCCTTTTCAGACGATTAAAAATTCCAGAGGATTTTTAAAAAATTCAATACGCTTGAGTTTTTAATCTGTCATAAAGGCAATGCCAACTTTAGGCAAAACAGCAAACCACAAGATGGACGAAAAAAAAAAATGCCTCGAGGAGATTTGTTGTAGGTCTTCAATGAACTGACTAAAACATGCTGAGGATTTTCTCGGCTGCTCTTGGCTAGGTACGAAGGAGACAAAAGCAGCATGCACACAGCAGAAAGTGGATAGATAGTGTCAGGAAGGCGGAGAGAAGCACTAGCTATAGCAGACAAGAAGTCAGGCTTGTTGAAAAAGAGACAGAAATGGAAGGCAGGCCCCAGAACTAGGAAAGTTAGTATACATACAGACACACTCGGGGCCCTCGCGTGCATGCCAGTGCTTGCAGCCGTCACACTTTCTTCCGGTGGCTCCAGGGCGGCACGTGCAGAGTCCTGTGACTGGGTCACAGGGGACAGGCAGGGAGCCATAAGGGTCACACTCACATTCTTGGCAGGAGCCTCCAGGGCTGCTGGGACTGCCAGTGTAGCCAGGGGCACATCTAGATTGGAACAGGACAGAATGTTGCAGATTAACGGGAGTCACATCCCCGAATCAACTTGTTTGTATCTCCTAGTGTGTTGAAATGAGAAGAAAAAAAAAAAAAATCCTGAAATCAGGGCTCTATAGAGACTAAGAATAAGGCTCAGTGGTATAGCTTTTTCCCAACATATGAAAGCCATGGGAATATATACATGTAAAATATTATTATATATTATATATAATATATTTTAGGGATCCTTAATTTTTTTTCTTATGAAAGATCAGATAGGGGCTGGAGAGATGGATCAATGGGTAAGAGCACTCACCGTGTGAACATGTGGACCCCAGTTCAGATCCCAACACCCATATAAGTAATCTGGGTATAGCTATGAACGTACCTAAAACCTCGTACTGTGGAGGGCAGAGACAGGAGGATTTCTGGGGCTTACTGGCTGCCAGCCAATCCCCAGGTTCAGTGAGAATTCCTGTCTCCAGGTAATAAGGAAGACAGTAATAGAGCAGGACACCCAAAATTCTCCTCTGTCCTTCTCAGGCATGAGCACATACACGTACTATGACACAGACACACAGACACACACAGACACACACAAACACCTCTCTCTCTCTCTCACACACAGAAATAAAAAGATCAGATGATAAATTTTATATTTTGCAGGCTAAGAGAAAAATTGTTTATGTAGTAAGAAGGAAAATTAAAAATGTTTGTTGATGAAATTCAAATTTTAATGTACTTGAGAATTTAATTTGTAATGCGAATCTGGTAAAGAGAAGAAAATAATTAGTGGGATTCTTTCTGAGGTTTCAAATGTTACTTACATAAGAACCTTCATATAAAGCTGATTGTTAACTGTTAACTTATTACATCAATGCTTACTTTGCATGCCCTGTGGAACCAGGAGAGGGACAAATTGCACCTGTGTGTGTAGTTTGCCCAAGTCATCTTTAGCTCATATATTTTTCTTAAATTCTTTTTAAAATAACAGTTTAAGGAAAACTGTAATTGACATGCTGACTTCTAAGATATTCTATACTCATGCATTTTATAGATCAAAATAACAAAAAAGTAATATTTGATAACTGTACCAATCAAGACAAGAAGCCATTGAATGCAGCGAGACTTCCATTTTCTATTTAATTGTATTAGTCTTTATTTATTGTTTTCCTCAGAAGGAATTTTTTTTAATCACATATCTGGAAAGTATGTTCATGTTATATAAATGAAATGTTTAGCACTGACTTGAGAGAGTAGAAGGGAATTTGATTGAAAGAATCCCATTTCCAGACTCTTCCACGTATCCAGGCATCCTTTCATGAAAGTGCACAGCACAGTGGACCATGATACGGCAAATTATTAAATGGGGCCATATGTTTCTTCCTTGCCTGGAGTAATCTCAGACTACCTGTTGTTTTTACTTACTAAAAACATTTCCTAATAGTCATTGAGAGTCCCTAAATGGAATATATATATATATCTCAACAGATATTTTGTTTTGATAGTAAATATGGGTTGAAAAGAAGCTGGGATTAGATTGTTGTTTTCTTTCTTTTATGAGCATCTGTGCAGTACTAGGAATTGGGCCTCTATCTTGCATATTCAAGCATGCACCCTTCAATCCCTTTTCATTTTTTATTTTGGGAACATGCATCACTAAGTTGTCGAGGCCTACCCTGAAACTCTCCCTATAGCCCAGCTTGGCTTTGAACTTGCAATCCCCCTGCCTCAGTCTCCTGAGTCACTGGGATTATGGGCCTAGATTTGTTATTTTCATTCTAATATAAGACGCAAATGCTCAGTGCACGTATTATTTTAATAGGTCCACTTAAATCATTCCTTAACATTTGCAGGGTGAATGACTGTAATCAAAATAGGTTCAGACTAATTAAATATTTGAAGTTTATTACAAGAGTAATGAAGATAAAGTATGGGGAGAGTTTCTGCATCATGGGGACAATGAAGAAATTCAAGCAGTTTTAGACCCAAACTGCATTTGGGCAGGTCAGAAGGTGATTAGATGATTGAAGAAGCTCTCAGAAGTAGAACAAATTTATCTGGAAGGTTATAATAAAAATTTAACCAAGACCTTTGGTTTAATTTAGCTGAAGGGAAGCAGATTTTTAGGGAAATACAACCTGGTCACCTGTATGTTAGAGATGATGAATCTCAAGCTATAATAACATTGGAGAATTGCTAAAACAATTCAAGCTCTCACATCTGAGAGTGTCTGACCCTGCTCATCCATATGCTATATAAGCTGTCAATGCTTGCTGATTCAACATCAACACATATTAGAATGATAGATTTCTGTAATCACTATGCTAATTTTTATAAGCTCTTCTAGGTTTTCTACATACATACTTCTCCAGATAGTGATAATTTCAATTTATAAATGTAGCTACACTATCAAATATTCGTGTCATAAATTGCTGAAGATAGTCTCATTGGTATCCAGGAATATTTTCAGTAAACCTCCTACTGGTGTTTACAAGGACATTAAATGAAGATTAGCCTAATCATAAATGCCAAAGGACACGGTGGAAATATAGAATATATAGTTATAGAATATATATCTCTATAGAATATATATCTAGAATAGATCATTTATAACCTATGTCCAAATGAAGTATGAATATTCTAAACAATTGAAAATATTTTTGGATGTTTGCATTAGAACTGCTTAATTGATGTTAATTTCCATTGATATGGACATTGTGAATGCTTTGCTCTGTATAAATACAAAAGTGCTGAATGTAATATTCACAGTTACCACATACAGATTTTATTTGGAAGTACATCTTGCAAACATATAAATTGTATTACAATTTATAAAACTTACATCTAGTTACTAAATTCAATTCTTATTGCCATTATCAATATAAACCATTGCTGGTAAGGTAAAAGATGTTTAAGTAGTTGATAAAAAATAATACATACTGTTAATTTTTTTCAAAATCTTTAACAGTATCAGGAGCTACTAGGAGATTCTAGAGTAGGGTGGCAAAACAAGCTATGGAAAAGAAACAATCTAAACAAGAGTGTGATTTCAGGTGATGAGCCATCTTAGTTTGATGACATAGAAAGTTCTAGAATATAAATAACATTTCAAAATTTGTTCTTCTGTGAAGCAAAGGACCTGGACATTGGTAAGGGCTCTTCGCTGTTAGACATTGACTATGAGCCACCAGAGAAAGATGGGGGTCAATTCTTAGGGTTATATGCACCTCCTGCTGGTAAAGAGGCTTCTGTGTAGGATCATAGGCAGGACACCAAGCATCTCTTACACACTTGATTGTCACAATGTTAAAGGTAGCACATCAGGTAGTCTTAATAGCATAGACAAGAATGAGACTTAGGTAAGTTGGTGGTACTAAGTTAAATCCATGAATATTTATAAAACTTTATACTGCTGCTAATTATACTGTGATTACTGTATATCATGCTAATGGTTAGTATTAGTTACTGTCTGCTGTGTCTGATATACTAAAAGTGACAGTAACAAGTTTTAACATCTAGTTTTCTGATCAAATACAAAATATGAATCTGGAAGATGATAATTACTACCTTACTAGACAGTCAGGTTATATTCCATAGCTTAGCATCTATATCACACCTAGAATTCAGTTTAACAGTACTATAATGCTTTATCAGATTTTGTATTTTCTGACTGTAAGAAGCAGCCTTTGAAGAACATTGCTAGTCTATCAAAATGGGGAACTAAGAAACAGAGGCTTTATATTCTGGATACTACTAATTAAATATGTCCATTTCTACTTGCATTCCGTAGAATGCGCATACCTACTAGTATAGGGCCAGTGTGTAAGAACAACCAGGTGTGTGCCATTGTTACTAGACAGTGTTGTCCAATGAACTAAATGAAAATGATATAGCCAGTATTTCAATTCCTGTAACTACTGAAAAGCTTTGAAGACAAATTGGTGTTTGTTTTTATAAAATTATATTTAACTGTTTATATTTAGACATAAATTAAATGATCATGAAATAATTTGGAATCACTGAGAGACCAAAGCAAACAACTTTCTAAAGGGTCTAAAGCTGTGAAAATAGTTTTGAAAGCCTCAAAGTTAAACCACTGAAGTAGGGGGCTGGAGAAATGGCACACTGATTAAGAGCATTGGCTGCCCTTGCAGAGGACTGGAGTTTGAATCCTAGCACCCACATGGCATCTAAAAACTGTTTGTAACTCCATCCCAGGGGATCTGATGCCCTCTCTTGACCTCCATGAGTATTGCACGACATGAGTGCACTTACATACATGCAGGCAATACACTCATACACATAAAATAAAAATAATAAAATATTGAAATTTTTTAAAAAAAAACTGTAGTATATGGAAATAAGGAAATTATTAAAATAATACTGTAATCCTTATGATTTCCACATATCATGACTGTTGGTACCTTTCACAGTACTGTCCTTCATACCCCCGTGGGCAGGCTGTGCAGCGGTAATCATCCAGACCTTCCATCACACAAGAGGGGCTGAAACTGAATCAGAAAAACATGTTAATCATTTATTTGATAAAATTCACTATTTCTACCTATATCAAAGTTATTGGGACATATTGTGAGGGAGTGATTTATATATTTATAATTATTGATAATATTCTTATTTATTGAGAAGATATTACAGTTAAATATTACTAATAGAAAATAAATAAATATTGGATAGTTTTTGATGAATTAATAAGGTATCACACTAAAATGTCAGTATTTCTGAATTCTAATAATTATATAAAAATCTGTGTATTAAACATTTAGCAAAATTGACAAATTGTTTATTAATCCAAAGAAAACTCAGACTGAAACTTTTGTTCATAATTTTATCTTATAGTAGACTAGGTGTTATAAAATGCCTTCTGGGTTAAAAAGTAAAGGAAAAAAGAGGCATAAAAACCATCTAATTTTTTCTGAAAACAGCCCAACTTGCCACTGGCACTTCTGCAATGAGGTGTGAATAGAAGTTCTGCTGATACTGAAACTGTGCCTTTCCCAATTCATATACAGGTTTCAGATTGCATTTTTCTTTAAACACAAAGTAATGTGATTCAGTGTGTGGCAAGAAGACAAAGCATTCTATATGAAAATGAATACAATTGTCTCACTATTTTATGGTCTTTTTAATAAGTAGGTCTTATATAACTTGCCCTGTAATTTCCTTATCCCACTGACAGGCCACAGCCAGACCACAATTCCGAGATTTCTGATGTAACAGAGACTTGATGAGATTTGAGAAGGAAACTTAATTATCACACAGTTTGGGGCTGTAGCATACTTTTCTCATATGTTAGGTGCTGCATTTTCATTGAATGAAATTTCATGGACCATAGAAACATAGGAAGAGAAATGTACTTGCTATAAAATGGTAAATGTTTCAAACATCGTGTTTCATTATTATGGGTCTGCCAAATCAGTCTATACAGAAAACCAATGAAGAGTACAGGCCAGGAGACACCTGGTAGCACATGCCTGTGATCCAAGCACCTCTGGAATATAGGCCAGGAACATATTCTTTGATTTAGGTATTATTAGGATCCTAACTTATTACAGATATGTGCACATCAAGCCCATATAAATCCATAGATCATAAATGAATGTTTCACTTTTGCAAGATGTGTGAACTAATGAATCTACTGCTCACAAACTTGCTACCTGACAAATTTATTTTTTACCTTCCCAAACTGTAAGTCCTCCTAAACTTATAATGGGTGCTGTCTGTCAATTCAGCTCTTTAAAACTTGAAATTGAGTACATCGGTGTGTGCGCATGCATTTGCATAATCACACTGACTCCCACACGTAGGTGCTGTAGATTTTGGACATTTGCAGTTCAACTCCTGATGTCCAGCACAATTAAATTATACTCCTTCATACTAACATAATAAAGTGCTGAAAAAATTAATTATCATAGAAATACTATACAGGAGAGGTCAGAGAGATGACTCAGCAGTTAAAAGCACTGGCTGCTCTTGCAGAGGACCCAAGTTTGATTCCCAGCACCCACATGGCAACCAACAATGGTCTGAAACTCCAGTTTAAGGGGATCTGACGTCCTCTTCTGGCCTCTGAAGGCGTTGCATGCATGCGGTGCACTTACAAGCAGACAAAACACATATAAAATTACACATAAAATTAAAATTTAATTAAAAATATTTTAAATACTATACAGGAATGTAGTAGTTCTTGACAGTTGATTTTTGAATTATGGTTTTATGATGGACTTTGTTTTGTGATTATGGTATATCAAAGACCTTTGGAAGGAGGGAGTAGAATCCCATCTTGCCTGAAGTTAGAGCTGGCTCTTTCTGCTTGTAGGTCCCTGTCTGCTGTCAGTTGTTGTTTCACATGGGGGGGTCAGTTGGAAACCCTAGAGCTTCTCTCTTAATGACCATCTTTTCCCATTTCCCTGTGGTAACTCATTTCAAACACCCTACCACAGAACTTGTAAAATTTATAATCTGCTCCCTGCAAGATCTACAGATTACAGAGAATTGGAACTACCTTCTTGGATTTTTTAAAAATAATTTATTATTTTTTTATGTGTATGCGTGTATTGCCTGCATATAAGTAAGTGCACCTGTGCCATACAATGCCCATGGAGGTCAGAAGAGGTTGTCGAATCCCCTGGGACTGGAGTTATAGACAGTTGTTAGCTGAAGTGTGGGTGCTGGGATTCGAACCTGGGTCTTCTGCAAGAACAACCAGTGTTCTTAACTGCTGAGCCATCTCTGCGGCCCCCACCTTCTTGGATTTTATCCCTGCTCTCTGGCTGCTTCTTTGCCAAATATGTCACATTCTTGATCTCTTAATGTACTTCCAAGCTTAACTTTCAGATTTCTGAACTTCCCTCTCCTCTGACATCATTCATCCTTGAGGTCTTTATAGAATGCGATTACTCTAATACCTAAAACCTACCTTCTCCTCCTCTAAAAAAAATGCACTTAACTTTCCTATAGTTTTCATACTTCTACATGCTCTGACCAAAACATGGAGCCAACACTGTCCTCTTACACTCCACACTGTTTGGCAGCTAAATGTCACTAGCAATGCTGTCTGTGACCTCATCACATCCTGTACCACGCTACCACTGTGAGATTGTTGGCCCCCAGCATATTTAGTTAGCAGAGCTTGCTGCCTTGACCTCTCCGTCCTCTTCCCCATTCACCCTACTTCAGCCACACTGACATGCTATCTGACAACCATGGGCCAAGCTTGGGCCTGTTTCAGGACCAGTGCACTGCTTTCTCTTCCCTGGACTAGACTTTGTGCAGATATTCCAGAGGCTCACGCTACTACTTTATTCAAATTTGGCATCAGTCATATCCATTGGTGAAGGCCACTGATCCTTATATTGAAAACGACACCCTCCTCACTGAATTCTCCATAGCTGCTTTTTTTTTTTTTTTCTGGGAAGCAGTTTTCTCAACCTTTTTTTTCCTATGCATTTATTCTCTCTCTCTCTCTCTCTCTCTCTCCCCTTCTTCCTTATGAAAAATGTAAAGTATGGGAGAGAAAGAGACAGGATTATTCTGCTTGTTTATATATTCCCATCATGAGGAACCATGTCTGGCACTGAGTTGTACCCTCATTAAATATTTGTTGACTAAAGAAATAAATAAAATATTACCTTCACCTTTATGGAGTTCACAGTTCAGTATGAGACACACACAAAAATGTAGGACAGTACTCATGTTTTACCTCTAATTCAGGGTATTGGAATACAACATTTACTACTTGGCAAATGTTTCATTTCTGAAAGAACATCTGATTGAAGTCAAGATATGTGGCAAATGCATTACTAGCATATAGAAAGTACAAAAGGTGTGATATGCTGTGAAAAAGACTTTGTAGCAGAAATGGACCTTAAACTGGGTTGTTAAACATGTGCTGGATTTTACAGGGATTATCTCAGGCAACAGTAAGAACATAGATTTCTAAGCATGTTTAGAAAAGAGCAAGCAGCTCCAAGCCTAGCATCACATGAAAAGGAGTTGTGGGCAATTACTAGCAAAGACAGACAGAAGGAAGAGGGTTTCTAACACCACATTAAAAGGTCCAACCTTTCCTTGGGTGTATAATAGAAAACCCAAGTGCCTCTGAGTGTTGCTGTTTGGTTACACTGTTAAAAACTGTCCATATTTGTTCTGATAGGAGATAAGGAAGGAGAGTTAATTCTGTGGAAGTGAGTTAGTGAGCAGCATGTCTTCTTTACCTTTTATTTCTCATGGACCACACACATTAAAGTCACTAAAATGAGACATTTCAACTCATTTCAAAAACATTTTAATTCTATAGCTCAGAATTTTTTTTTAATTTTATTTATTTGGGGGGGGGCTATAGAGATGGCTTAGCAGCTAAGAGCACTGACTGCTCTTGCAGAGGACCCAGGTTCGATTTCCCAGCACCCACATTCCAGCTAACAACATCTGTAACTCCAGTTCCAGGGGAACCGATGCCCTCTTCTGATTCCCAAGGGCATTGCATGACACAGTGCACCCACCTACATGCAGTCAATACATTCATACACATAAAATAAAAATAATAAATAAAATATTAAAAAAGAAGTAAATGGAAATTTGGTTTTGAGAATTTCATACATGAGCAGCATATTTTTGCATTTTGTCCACTCCTCCCGGTTTCCCTCCAACTCTTTCCATGCCCCTCACTCCTTCCCAACTTCTTGTTCTCGTTTTTGATTATTATTACATATACTTACATTTATAAATATACTATAATACCTTTTATATATATATAAATGTGTTTTATGTATATATATATATATATGGTACACTGAGGCCATTTAGTTTTGCTTATGTGTATTTATATTTAGGGTTGCCCGCTTGGGATTAGATAACCTCTCAGGAGCTAGTCCCTGGAGAAAATGGATGTGCCCTTCCACAGCACCCATTGATTGCCTGCAGCTCTTCATCTTGAGGTGGACCCCATAAAATCTTCCCCATCAGCTTGGCTTGTCAACTGGTTTTGTCATAATGCGGAGCTTGTTAGATTAACATACATCAGGAAGATGTGCCTCTCTTTGCCTTGGTGTTCTTTCTACTTCACCTTTTAATCCTTCTCACCATCTATAAGTCTTTTTTGCTAATTAGGCTAACATGTTTCAAGCTGCAGCTGGTGAGATTAGCAGGTCATGGAATCAGCTTAGTGTCTTTTTGACTCAGATTTTTCTAAAAATGTGAGATGAGAAAATTGAATAAATGGTAGGCTATGCAGACACACATGTGGGTTTCTGCATGTAAAGTTCTGAGTACTGGACTATGATATTTTAAAAAGTACTACTTAGAGTTGTGATCAATAAAGTTTAAATGCCATTAAGATAGTTACTTTAGTATTTTGATTCTTTCAGTCTTCTTCACATAAAAATTATACTTAGATCACACAAATCAGAGAATGAACCAAACTATGAACACACCTTTTTATTCATTCTGCTAATCAACCTCAGTAGTATTCTTTCTCTTCTTGAAATTTCCTAAAACTATAAGCTAAAACTCTGGCTACTTAAAGTCCACTTCCAGGGCTGTCAGCCTTCAGCAGCGACTCTCGTGGCTAACTGCTACATCTTCACAATCTCCCTTGGGATAACAATGCTGGATGCTTGCTGACTATAGTGCTGCTCTTTCCCTTGGTGTCGGTGACTGTGATGCCTAGGTTCTCCTCTCCCCAACTGTTCCTGCCTTGACTCTATTTTCTGGAGATCCCAACAGAAGTTTTGTTTTGCCTTCTTCCCATATGCTTCCTTGGGGAACATTCATCTGGGAAATCCAATCTGACTTTAATTCATTTATTAACACATTTCTTCCTTCACCTGCTCCTGCAATTTTCAGATTTCCATTTTGTGCAACTATTTGCATATTTCCATTCGGACAGAACTTTCACATCAGTTTGAACCTATTTAAACCATAAATCACTTTTCTTTGAAAGGAGCTCTCTCCTGATTTCCCTGTGTCAGTTCATGACTCCACCATTTTGAGGGGCAAACTGGCTGAAACCAGCCTTCAATTCTTGTCTTGACGTTCACCCTTCACATCTCATTAGTTACCAGTTGTGTGGAGCTGTGTTAACAGGTTCCTCCTGGACATTCTCTGTGGTCACTCTCTTTACCATTGCCTTGCTTCTGGTTCTCGTAATCTCTTGCCTAGGTTAGTGCAATCACCTTTTAATTGGTCTCATTGCTTTTCTCCTTTGCTGCCTTCAGTTCATTGCATTCAGCGCTATCATAGTAGGCTTCAGGAAATGTGGCTCTAACCATATTAACTTGTTTTTTAAAAAGATGATAACTTGGGCTGGAGGGATAGCACAGCCGTTAAAGGCTAAGGTTAACAACCAAAATGTTAAAAGATGATAACTTGCAGTTTTTTATTAACATAGAAAATCAAATAGCAGTTTCTTAGACTGGTGCTCAAAGACTTCTACAATAAGGTTCTTATTCTTCCATTCATGTTCGCCAGTAATTATGAAGCTCTGTCTACAGTCCAAACTCTGTTACTTACTGCTATCTCTTGTGTTTTGTGTTTTCTAAGCATTTGTGTATACAATTTCCTACTACCCAAACCTGCAAAAATTCTTAATCTACTGTTAGCAACATACATAAAAATGTTTCTTTTAATGTTCTTGAAGTTTTTAAGACTCAGAATGGTATTTTGAGCCATGGAATTCATCATGTAGGTTGATTCTCTTGACATCCAAGTTTGGTATGGAGTTTGCCAAGAAATCACAGGATTCTCTTCTATATTCTCTGTAGCTGTTATTATAGTGTACCTAGTAGTGAATTATTAATTGTTGATTTTTTTCAAATTCAAATGGTTCACATTTTAATAATAATGAAATAATTGGAATTCTCCTGTTTAGACAGGGGTGTTTGAGGGAGATTTGGGAAAGGGAAATGAAAAACAGTATTTTATTTCACATACCTACCATTTTGTACTCGAAAAATACGATCATGTATATAACCTTCATCAATACACAACAACCTAAAAATTTACATCTGATACTCTGGAAACAGTTGTGCTTCTGGCTGACAATACAGGGGAGCTTGAAGAGGAAAGGGAGATACCTGTGCATAGTATTTTCAGAACACATTCAGAGCTGAAGCTGAAGGGAGGAGGTGATCTGGCACCAGCTGAAAGGCCGTTTTGTCTGAATGATTTTTGTACTCAAGAGAAGGTATCTGGAATTCCAACTCTGGACAAACTGCCATACTTTCTTTTCAAATTCTCAGAGAAAAACTACTTTACCATGGAGAGATTGAAGTCTATAAATCACTTAGCAGAAAGTATAGATAGTCTTAGCCAAAAGGAAAATAAAAAAGCCGAGAGGTTTTCAACAATATATAAAGCAAGGCAGAAGGTTCAGACAGCATGGAAATCAGATATTTCAGCATTTGTTTCCCCTTACGGCTGTGTTTCCATGGTACCAAGCTCAAAACATCTTAACAGAAAGGGGTCTGTGCTTCCAGCTGATACTGTTTTTTTAGAGCCTAACATTAAGTTTCCCTGCTTTCATTGTGCTATTTTTCAATTGCTTCTTTGATCATTATTTCCCAATATTGAATTTAATACATGAAATGAATGGAAACAGCCACAAAAGTGATGTAGTATGCACCCAAACAATCCTTCATAGCTGAATCACAGCAACAGTGTGTATACACACTAGACCTGCACATTTGTAAAACCATGCACATTTGTACATATGTCATTTGTTTCAGAAACCAGTCTAATATTAATATTGATCCTTACATTTTTATTAACAGTATTATTTACTTGAGACAGGATTTTAAAGGGTAAATGAATTGTAGAGTATACACACTGACTTTGATCATGTTTTTAGATTATTTTAAAAAACTGTCTTAAATTGAGATTTTTTTTTTTTTGTCTACATAGAAAAACAGGCAAATTGTAGATAGCTCATGTGCCAGGCAGATGAGTTTACTGATGGGGAAATATGGTTACATTTTTTAATCTTACTTGTTGCCTGGAGAAATCAGAGGGCATGCACACGGCTGACAGTCATTTGGTAATCCTTTGACGAGTCCATAGTAGCCAAGGGCACATCGCTCACAGAAATCACCAGCAGTGTGATGCTGGCAGCTCTGTAAAAGGAAAGAAGAGTAGCTTTCAATTTATGAGGAGTTACAGTGTATATACACACACACATACAGAGAGAGAGAGAAAGAGAGAGAGAGCGAGAGCAAAATATTTTAAAGATATTTTTTCAATTGAGAAATTGATACTATGCTTTGGTAACCTTACTAACAACAAGAGTTTGTTTTATTTTACCTAAATCTATTTCTGTGTACTTTTTTTGTCAGTGCAGTTTGTCCTCTCAGCCTAGCAATCAAGCGGTTTACAGAAGCGAGAAAGAGCCATTATTCCTAAAGAGGGGCAGGGGTCTCAGGAGTTCAGGGCAAGGGGCCATGGAGGAGGGTTTCACAACAGACAGTTGTTAGCTGCCATGTGGGTGCTGGGATTTGAACCCAAGTCCTCTGTAAGAACAGCCAGCATTCTTATCTGCTGAGCCATCTGTCCAACCCAAAGAAACGTACAGACAGTGTAACACCCCATGTACCAGAAAAGAGGTCTCCAAAGTTTTGTTTATAGAAGTATTTTACTGCATGCATGAAATGATTATTCCTTTTCTTCAACTACTATTTTTTAAGTTTTATTATTATTTTTTAATCATTTAAAAAATTTTTAATAACTACATGATTAGAGGAAGCCTTTCACTACAGATTTAACATATTCAGTAACATACTCCAGAGCAGGAGTACATTTCTTTCACATTTCAAGTGGGTACAAGTTTCTAGGTTCACAGTTGAGGTAATACAGTTATACAATATTGAACTCAGTATAAGCCCTGTAAGACATAAAATTGAATGAGTTTTTTAACCTTTAAAAAAGATCTCCATTTCATTTTAGAATATGTTGTTCCTTGCAGAAAGACTCATTGTTTTTGCTACTAATACTTAGATGTTGGCTTATGCATCTCTAATCTGTATGCATCTGATTATTACTAGTCATTACTGGTTGCACTTGAACCCTTGGCGCCTGTGTATGTCTATGAAGTCATCGGGTGGATTTCAATGGTAATGTTTATCACCTCTACTTTTTTAGCATGACATAAATTTCCATTTTTTAAAACTCAAAATTAGGGAATAGAACTTCAATAATCTCTAAATATATTTTGCCATCTGGCCACACACATTTCTTCATTCTCATGTTTTAGCTCTATGAGAAGCTGGAAAAAGTTCTGAAAGGCTAGGATGCTGGTGCATGCCCACTGTGGGAGCTCTCTGAAGGCAACCAAAGGTGAAAAGCACAGGATGTGTAAAAATGGTCAGCCTTGTTACTCCATTAAGAATGTTATTTATCTATCTCTTGGAAAATGGTGGCACTTCATCAATACAGAGGACTCAATATGATACTTTGCAATCTCCAGTCCATGTTTCCTTTTTATGCTTGCATAATGGAAGATATTCCATTGATATGCTTGAAGACACTTTCATAAGAAAATGAGAAAAATTGAAGAATAGGGTAGAGTTTGGGAATTAAAATTATCTTCAAGCAGGATCACACTGCACAGAGAGCAACGATTTATAAGCAGGATCTAGGAAGAGGTACCTATAAACAAGTGAGGAAGGAAACAGGTACAATAAGATACTACCTTTTTACACCTATTTCCACTTTAGGAATTTTTAAAACCCTGACAGCAAACATAGCAACAAAAATTCAATACTGAATGTTGGTTTGGAAAAAATATGACACTTGATTTTGGGAGCTGAAGAAAAGAATTACAGGGAATTTGGAGAGAGATTTCAGCTTGGTATTTTGAAGTATTTGGAGTGGTCAGAACAATGTCTTACTTCTTATAAACTTGATAAAAAGAAATACTGAGAAGCAAAATTCAGCAGCACGATATATGTAGATGTTTATGAGATCATCTCCGAGTCAGCTCAGCTGGAACTATATAACTGTCTACAGGGATGAACTTGACCCTGGATGACAGTCATCTGTTGAGCGCTTTAAGGCAGTCATGAAGAATGTGTTCATTTTTCTTCTATCGTCTCAAAGCAAACAAGGTTTGCTATGGGCCGTATACTCTCTCACAACAAATAGTAACTGGTCATTTTCACCATAGACATTGCCATGGAGTTTTAATTTTCTTTAAACTTTTAGTACTCTTTGTCAAAGGTTATGCTAGTCTCTGAAGCAAGACCTTGACATTGTCACTGTTTGTTTTAAACCCCATATTGACCTTTTACATATTTGGCGCAATATTTGAAATATATCATTTGCAGATGCATTTTAAAACTTATGTATAATGTATCCCTTAGCAGATATAAAAACTAAAAATCTCATTTCTTCTGTCTTTAGTTTACTCTCAATCAATAATAGTCCCCTACTGTCAGATAATGATACCCCTCATTTGGCTGTTTCCTTGACTGAGAGATTCTTCCAAACAATTTGCTATTTCGTCCACTTATTTTCTACCACTTTTGCATTGATGGCTTTCTTCTGTCTTTAGTTTACTCTCAATCAATAATAGTCCCCTACTGTCAGAGAATGATACCCCTCATTTGGCTGTTTCCTTGACTGAGAGATTCTTCCAATTTGCTATTTCGTCCACTTATTTTCTACCACTTTTGCATTGATGGTCTCAATTTTCCCCCTAAATATTGAAGTTGGTTAAGCCTTTTGTGTGGGGAGGTATGCTCCTAAAAACATGACACGGTCTTGCACTCATGAATTCAGTGTAGCTGTGATTACCCACACAGGATTAGGCTGGTCAATATTTCATCACGGAAAAAAGAGGGGTTCATCAGGCCCCACCCATCCCTGAAGGACCACTGACAGTTAACAGTTGCTTGGAAAGGAAGTGTCACTTTCTTCTATAGTATAGCCATTGATAAGTTAGTTGTCTAAGCTCCAGTAAGTAACCTCCTGTCCAAGCAATTATAATTAAGCTCACATATACAAATTCACGAAAGAAGGAGGGGGACTTTCTGGGAAGAAGGGTTTCATGGGGGAGGAGGGGGATGAGAGAGGGTAATGGGGTGAAAACAGCTCATTATAGACAACTATGAAACTGTCATAAAATAAAAATAAAATCTGGTGAGTCTTAAATCCCTTTAGAGCTTCCATATCAGCTCCGGGTCTCTGTTTCATCTCTTTCCCCTGAGCACTAGAAACAGACTTTTCACCTCACCACAGAAATGTAATTCCAGGTTTACTTATAAGATCTTTGCTGCTTAACCCAATTTATTGATATTCATGAATCCTTGTGGCATGTGGATTTTCTGCAGCACCTAATAGTCTAGTCACTCCATTCTTGAGATTTTTTTTCCTCCTATGGTTTCTTTAATCATATAATCTCTTGTTTTTCTTTTTCCAACCTTTGTGCCTATTTTTTTGCTCTTCATGGACTCTTCTGTTTAGTAAGACTGGCTTCCATGATTGTAATGTATCTTTTACTTTTATTTTCCCTTAACGAGTTGTGCCAAACCTTTTGAAACTGTGACATAATATTGTCATCTACAGTGTTCACACTTGAGAACCAAGTAAATGAGTTACCAGGAAAAAAATGATTGCAAAAATAGGAAGATGGATGTGTGTGTATGTGTGTGTGTGTGTGTGTGTGTGTGTGTGTGTGTCTGTCTGTCTGTGGGAGGGGGTGTCCACTGATCTCTTTGTCCCTCTTTCCAATATGACCACATTGAATAAATCATTTCTCTTATTTTTACTATTAAGAAAATACTAAAGAAAGAAAAAATGCAAAAACAATCTCAGGTTTTGAGGAAGTTTACCATTTTGTGTTGGGATATATCCTTAGCTATTCTCAACCACATGCTATTAGGAAGGGCCTAAGCATTCTACCTTGGTGATTTCTATGACTTCATGGATATCTCCATTGAGTTCCAAGTTTGCATTTCTATTTAATCTTTCCTTTTTTTTTTTTTTCGTGGTGACAAGGATTGAACCCAGAGTCCTGCCTATTGTAGACAGATACTCTGCCACTGAGCTATACCCACCTACCTCCTGATCGCCAGACTTACACTTCTAATTGCTTTTTGGATAGATTTTATCACATAACACCTCGAGTTTGAAATGTCCATAATTAAGCTCATCTCTCTTTCAATCTTCTACTGTTCTGTGTTCCCCATTTCAGGGGACGGCTTGTCATTTACTCCTTCCTCGGGTCAGCAAGTTAGAGGCTTCTCTGATCTGAGATATGCATTGCTCTACAATTCTATAGCTGTTTCTGGATTTCCTTGTTTCTGTTCATATCTTTCCAGTATCATCTTCTCCCTCTTGGCTAAATATTCTGTTTCATATGGTTCCTTATCCAGTTATTGCTTCATCCTGAAACCCCAGATCCTGTGTAGAACAAATGAAACAGCTGGGCCTTGCTCTTGCTCAAAAGGCTATTCTTTTTCATTGTAATCAAAATGAGTCATAAACTCCTTAACATGGCCAGGATAACCATCAGAATTTGCTCCCACTTCTTTTTCCCCTCACCTCCAGCCAACACTCGCTGTGCACACTGCACTAATCATGGGGGAGCACCCAAAAGTCCCCAGAGATGTGTGGTGCTCTCTCTCCTCTAGGACTTTTCATTTGCAAATCCTTTGTTCAGCTTCTTGCCTGTATATTTCATTTTAGCTCTCATTTTAAATCTTTTTCCCTGTCAATAGTCCCCAGTGTCCTAAATTTGGCTTAAAAACTCCTTCCAGCTTAATGCAGTTAATAAGGTAGCATAGGCATCCAGTGACTAGTCTAAATGACTGAATGAACAAGCACACGTTCTGGGCAACAAAGACAAGATTCACCAAGCTTTTTAATATGAAAAAGGCCAAGTTTCAAGTCTAGTACACGCAGAAAAGTGGCCCGCAGGACAAAATGATTTACTGTATTACAATATTGATCTAGATGTTGTAGTCCTCTTTTATTTGACCATCTAAAAGAATCCTCAGTATCTTAGCAGTCAAATAGCCATTCCACACTTAATGTCAGCTTTGTGAATGAGAATCATTCCAAGATGAAATAATTATGTGTAAATTTTAGTTTCAAATCATTTGACAAGTCATCAGATGAC